CTATTACCAAGCAAGAGATCTATTTTAAGAAGCCAGCTCCTTCTAAAAACATTTCTTTTGTGCCAGCTGCTAAGAGAGGGAGACAGAGGGGAAGAGGCAGCAAAGCTCAGAGCTGAGGCTAGAAACAGACGGCAGGGAAACAAGAAACCCAGAACAACTGTTTAAGAGCTCTACTCTTGACATTCTTATTTGATAATTAGCAAAGTTTTTAAAAAACTACTCATTACAGAGAAAGAAATCAAGGCGCAATTTCTACACATACTTGCCTGAGACTGGATCATTTTGAACTCAATGGGACTTGATTTTGCCCAGACTTCAGATTGCACTGGTACACAAATGTGTAACTCAGATCAGCTTGAAAAAATGCATACTGCAAATCCCATACAGACGGAGTTAGACCAAATATAGTAAGGCCTTTTCATTGGCAGACTTTTTTGTTTAGTCGTTTAGTCATGTCCGACTCTTCGTGACCCCATGGACCAGAGCACGCCAGGCCCTCCTGTCTTCCGCTGCCTCCTGGAGTTGGGTCAAATTCATGTTGGTTGCTTCGGTGACACTGTCCAACCATCTCATCCCAATTCCCAGATGGAGGACATGGGTTTTCAGCTCCACCCCTGCTTTCCTGTCCTAGCAAAAACATGTCTGTTTGGAAGAAGAGCCAAATGGATAGGACAGGTGTGTATGCGTGCATGCATAGCCTGTCCCACTTTGTTTGAAGACCTGTATTGCGAAATCCAATCCACAGCTGCCTCAGCGGTGACTTTAAAACAACTTCCTGCCTCATCTAAGATGAACGTGCCTTGTGAAACTCATCTTACCAAGAACTTTATTACATTTAAGAGGAACCTCCTAGCAAATCCCATCTTGCCACAAACGTTTGGACTTCTGGTACTTGCTTTGAAGAAGTGTGATTTACTCACAAAAGCACACAGTCTATGATTTTTTATTTTTTTATTAGTGGCCTATAAAGGCATCTCCTATTCTTGCATTCGTGTTTTGTGGCCACACGGCACCTCCCTTTTATTTCAATGAGACTAGATAAGGGCAAACATGGATTAAAATGGAGTAGGTTATGGATTTTTTTAAACTGGCATGGGTTCCTGAGTTTTATTACGCCATTATAATAATTCTGGAATCTTCATAATGATGGAATCATTTTAAATAGTGACAGTATCTTGACAAAGCATACAGCAAATGCAGATTTCCTCATACTTTGACACTCTACTTATCAACTATGTGCAGTACTAGATGACATTTTACTTGGATCCAAATAAGGTAACCTACTGTGGATTTAGATTTTTAACCACACCATGATTTTTACATACAGTGGTAACTCGCTAAACAATGACCCTGCTAAACGACAAATCCACATAATGATGACTTTTTGCAATCGCTATAGCGATTTGCAAAAGTCATTCCTATGGGGGATTTTCGCTGGATGTCGATTAGGTCCATGCTTCGCGAACCTCGTTTGCAAGACGATTTTTCGGTTCCGCAAAATGGCTGCCCTGTGTTTTCCGGACCCATGCTTTGCAGGGCAGCGATTTTTACAGCTGATCGGCGCTCGCAAAATGGCTTCCCTATGGGTGATCTTCACTGGACGATGAGGTATTTTCCCCATTGGAAAGCATTAAACCGGGTTTCAATGCATTCCAATGGGGAAAGGGTTTTCGCATGACGATTTTGCTAAACAGCGATTTTCACAGGATGGATTATCGTCGTCATGCGGGGCACCACTGTACCTTCAGTGGTACAGAAGCACTGTCACATTTTCCTTTTCAAAAAGTTGGTAAGACATTTGTGTTTGTTCCTGTTACATGGTATGTTTAATTTAGCTCCTCTTATCCCTTCCCCAGAAATATACCAAATTCTTTATGTACACAAAAAGTACTTCATGCATCCAAGGGGTCAACCATTTTTTGCTTCTAAGACGTAGCTTCTTCATTGATGGGTGCTCATGAGGACATCATAAGGGAGCATATATCCAAACAGTTTAAGAAGAAGATATTGAGCTTGATCCTGTATTTCAGTCCATAGTTGTTTTTGTTTTTTCTACATTCACATAGTGGTGGCAGTTGTGATAGAGAACATAAATACCTTCAGGATCACAAGTGGTTAACAGATTGGCTCCATATGTCCTGAGGTAGTGGTTTCAGTCACCAAGGCCATCAGTGGGAGTGCCTTCTCAGAGACAGACCTTCAGTTTGGTGCTATGGTTCCTCCCTCTTTCGGCAGAAAAAGTTACAACAGGAGGATTTATGGGCCTCCCCTAAATAAAGGAAACCCCTGTCGTGGAAGTCAGTAAGGGGAAATCTTCCTCTTACATTCCAAGCATGGTTTGACAAATGACCCAGGTCATAAACTCTCAGGAACAAGTCATGTTCACAAAAATCTGTGTTTAATAGAAAAAGAAAATAACTCTTAAATATGTAAGAAAACACTGGCCTAAAAGGAATTTTGAAACCCTAACAGAATTTTTTCCTAATAAGCTCAATCAGGTTCTATTAGAGAAGAAGGTTGCTTCGTGTAACATTTGAATGGCCATCTATTCATTCACACAACCCACCTTCCTTCGCCCTTTGGCACCTGCCCCTTTGTCTTCTGATGCTGGTAAATGAAACAGATCTGAGAGAAACACTCAATGGAGCATGTGCTGGGGGAGAGGGGGAGGTTCTTGAAGGTTCCCAAAGAGGTGACTCTGTAGAGGTGAATGCCCATTAATGAATGCAAGGTGGAGAACTTTCCTCCCTTGGATTTCTATTCACTTAACCTACAAGTTCCAACACCAGGAGAAAGGTGGCACAGAATTGCAATAAATAAAACTTAGATCTGAGACCGTATTTATACCTGCCATGGATGAAAACATATCCACATCTTTCATTTTATATTGCTTGTTTTTTTTCCACAGAACTATTGTCCATTGTGAGCTTGCTAACTTTTCCATTCTTTATTTTCAATACGGCCCCTCCATTCCTGTTCAAAAGAATTTGCTCTCATATACAGTATACATGTATGGTACTGTAACTCTAGGTGTTGAACCCTTGCTTCTCCAAGAAGCCCTATGAATTATGTATTTTATGAACAAGCAATTAAATTGATTGTAGGAAATTATTTTTCCCCATGTGCAGTCATTACTTTTTCTCTGGCAAATTTAAATATCTTTGTAGCCCAAAGTAGTGGTTTCTAATCTTGAGTACCCAGATATTTTTGAAGTTGTGCTGGCCTGGGTTTCTGGGAGTTGTAGTCCAATAACATCTGGGGACCTAAGATTGGGAAACACCAGCCTGAGAGACCCCTGATGTTTGTGGCCACCAATACCACCAACTCTCTTCTTAACATGTTGTTGGGAGGGGAGGTATTCTGCCTATGCTTGATGGGATCACACTCCCCACAAAAACTATGTCCATTGTTTGGGGGTGCTTCTGGACCAGATCTGACTTTTTTCATATTTGGCAGATTGCACAGTCGCAGCCCTTTCTGGACAGGAACTCCCTAATCACACTGATCCATGCATTGTTAATTTCTAGGATCAATTATTGCAATGTTTTCTACATGGAGTCGTCTTTGAAGGCAACTCAGAAGCTTCAACATGTACAAAACACAGTGGCTAGGTTAGTATTGGGTGCAAGAAAGTATGATCACCTCTCTTCGATCCTGGCTAGCCTACATTGGCTGCCTGTTTGCTTCTGGGTGAAATTCAAAATGTTATGGTTTGGGACGTTATTACCTGTTGGAGCATCTCTCCTTAAGATTGTCTACCCAGGCAACTTGGTCTATCCAGGCTCCGCGCTTCTGGGTGGTCAACCCTAGAGAGGCCCAGAAAACTACCATCAGGAACTGGGATTTCTCTGTGGTGGCCACAATGCTATGAAATGCATTGCCTGTTGATGTTCGCCAGGTTCCTCCCTTCTGACTTTCAAGAAACAGGTGAAAGCTGAGCTTTTCAAAGAGACCTTTGGTAACATCAATCAATCAGTCAATCAATCAATCAATCATGGTGGGTTTTTTTTAGCAAGCTGCTTGTTTGTGTGTTTTCTTTAAAGAAAATTAACCAAATAGTATAATGCAATAAGAGAATTAATTATTATTATAAACAACATTATCTTAGAACATGTGTTAATTGGTGACTTCTTGGCATAGTTTATAGAAGCCATCATTACCGTTATACTAGATTTTGTTTTAACAGATATTAGGGTTGCCTTGGTTGCTTTGTGTATTATCCACAGGCAAAAAAACAAGGTGTAAGAAGCCTTCCTGTGGGATTCATGGACTGTCTGTTCACCACAGGAAATAGGATGCACCTTCTCTCTCACCAAGTTCTCGTGTTGAACCCAGTCTTGTGTTTTACTTCCTTTCAACTATGACCACAGCTATTACATCTCATCCCTAAATTACAAATAATTGGAAGCCTACACATAATACTTTTTATTTCATTGTTAGAAACCCAGACATTTTTTAACCTGGAGTACTGTGTTTTCTTACTTACCTTTGCACAGTGTATATGAGAAAAGAGTTAAACCAGGTAGGTTTAGATTAAGCAGGAAACTCTAATGCATATGCAGTTATCATAAAAAAATTAAAAGGCAGATGAAATCTTTGATGATACTTCACTGTTGAGATACCTCACTGTGATCAAACTTTGTGTCTTACCGACACAGCAACTGATTTTCCCCATAATATTCCAGAACCTTTGCATACAGCACAACCCCTTTTATAACCTTCCACCCTGTTGCAATTTTCACCCAAAGCATCCCTTTTTAAATTCCCACACTTGACACTCTGCTAAAAGTCCCCTTACTGCTTTCATTTTTGGATGAAAATACTTGGCTCCAGCAGGGCTTCTACAGTTGTTCTTCCTTCAACTCTTACAATAGGTATCAGATTACAGTAACAGCCTGGAGTATGCTTGTGAACTATATAAAGTAATCCAGTAAAATTGTACAATATAGCAATTATGAATCCATACACACAGAAGTTATTATGAAATCACAGGGGGATTGTTTGATTATGCTGTTTATTTCCAGTGAAACCAAAGTATACTAGTGCTGTGATCACAGAACATCTTCACATTTGATGCAAATATGAAAGAGTTATGTACAAAGTAATTAAGTGGCACTATTTTTAAACAAAAGGAAACAACCCAAGCCTGAAATATTATAGAATGTAAAACAGGTTATATGCATATCTTTTGTAAGCTCCAACTGCACTGCAGTTGCATTAAACGGAACACAAGTGCCACATTAATAATCATTCCCCAGACAGAATTAATAGAAGAATTAGATACTAGTTAACATCGGCATATTTTACTGCAGAAAACTAGTGCACTCTTTTACACCTTTCAGCTTGATAACTGGAAACCTAAACCATTTAGAAAGCTGATACATTCTCTCTCTAAACTAATATATAGCTTAAAGTGTTTTTTTAATATATATATATATATATATATTTATATTTATATATACTTACATATGAACCAATTTCACATTGTAATTGAACAGGAGCAATTTACAGTAAAATTAGATAGGTGAGATTCTCTTTCCAGGTGTTCATTTTATTGCGTCCCCGAAGTACTGTGGACTGAAGGAGTAGAATCTTGATCAGGCAAGACTGTGGGCGTGCCAGCCTCTGGAAGCCCAGATGCAAGCACATGACGGCATACAGGACACGTTCCTGACTAAATGAGAGGAAAAGGACACCGATTAATTACAATGTAGGTGAGTAGCTTAAGAATTCCAAAAGGTAGTCCTCAAACAAATTGAGATGGAAGGCTGGCGTGTAGGGGAACAAGTCAGCTAAAAAGCCAATTATGTTAACACAGATCACAATCCTCATGTTGCCAACTTCAAAGTGGTCAACTTCAGAGGGATTTCTCTAGTATAAGCAAATTGGAGATTATCTTGTGGAAAGTATTAGAACATCAACCTTAATCACACGCAATGGCAAAACATGCTATTGAAGATTTTAAGGTCTCTGTCAAGTAGAGTTTAAGTTTCACAGAAAACACATACTGTGTGAAGTGGCAAGCATTTCAGAAAGCTACTTCCAAGTAGTTCTTCAGAAAAAAATTAATCTGCCTGCAGCATGTCACTCATTCTCCCCCTCCCTATTATCTCCCTCCTTGTTGCCCAAAAAGTGTTTTCTGGAATTCTCAAGTATAAAAAAGGTCATTGGCCACAGATACATTATAAAATCCAAATGCAAAAATGGGCAATACCTTTACAGACCACTAAAAAGCATCACACAATAAATGAGTTTTCGTGGATTAAACACTTCATAATCCACAAAAGCTTGTTTATTGTGTGATTATTTTTTTAGTGGTCTATAAAGGTATCACCTATTTTTGCATTTGGATTTTATTTTTTTTAGGACCACACGACTGTCCTTTACTTCAATTGAAATATATTCTAATAATTTTTTCTAGCGTGAAGGACCTAACACATTACAAAAACAGTCTGTCAATCCTATGCTTCATTGAAATAACACTGTGTAGCATAGTCTTCAAATACAGTAGGACCCCCAAATTTGCAGGATCAGTATCCATGGTTTCAGTTATCCACAGTTTACTACAGCCCTATATACAACATACAAGGAAGCGGGTCTTGTGGCTTCTGTCCTCCCTCCTTGTGGCCTTTGTCCCATCACCTTCTATGTCATATACAGGGGTATTATGCATAGTTTCAGGCATCCACATCAGATCATGGAAATTGATTCCCTATGGATATCAAAGTCCTACTGTAATCCTAAATCCTTTATACTATGCATAACCAGGGTTGTCCTATATGGTTCCTATAAGGGCATTCACATACTTGAGCCACACGGACTGTTTTATGAAAGCAACAACTCAGTGGTGGGGGTTTGTTAATTATTCATAATCATCTGATTCGTGTCTGACAAATGAGAGCTCCATATATACATTTGAGAAAATGTAGAGAAACCTTAAGGCTGTACCTCTGACACAGCACACTTAGTTTGTGTCTGTTCTTTGCTGATGCCATGTCAATTTAGGTGGTTGAGAGCTCATCTTTAACAAGTTAATTCAAGGAATGAGCTTGGCTCAAACAGGTGTGGAATGCAGACTAGGGGAAGTAGGGCTTTCATGACTTTCAGACATTGAGTTCTACTGTTTCTCTCTAAGTATGTTTTCCAAAGATTATGGAACACATAGGTTCACTTTATTACTTCTTTCCAAAATAAATTTGTTTAGCTTTAATAGTTGGCATCTTATAGGTCTTCAAACATGTAATCCTGCTTCTTAGCCACAACTTTTTTAACTCTTCCCTTAAAACAAGAAATGGACCAAAATGTTGTAGAAGATTTAATGGAACTGCAATTTAAAAATATGTTTTCCATCTTTTAATAAAAACATTCTTTCAGAAGCACAGATTGCCTTCTTCACAGAACAGTCTTATTGCTCCTTGACTTTTCTGATTCAATTTTGTAATTACAGAAATCACAACAATGATAATCAGGATATTTAAATACATGGCACTGCATGCTTTTGGTCATGTGGATTTCTGCCAACCACAAATGTGTCCAGCTGATTGGCAGCCAGAGGTTGGGCGTTTGATTCCCCACCGTGTCACCTATGAACAGAGCCAACCAGTGTGGCCTTGGACAAATTACACAGTCCCAAGGTACCCCCATAAGAAAGGAATGGTAAATCACTTCTAAGTATTCCCTACCTGGAAAATCCTGAAAAGGGTGGCCATAAGTCAGAATTGACTTGATAGCACATGATGATGATGATCGATGCATCAGATGAGACACTAGTCTTAAACAGTATATTAGTGTTGTACTCATTAAATGCCTTCAATGAGCTCAGTGTGCTGCTCATGTATTCTTCACTTCTGTTGCTCTGAAAGCGTTATTGTCCTTACTGAAATTCTTTGATTAGATTGTCACCACTAACTCCTACTTATTTGTTGTTAAAATGTGGATGTGTGGATTGGAAGTGTTAAGTGATAAGGGTTAAGTTTGGATTTTCGAAGGATTTTATTATGTTTGTTATACTGTTGTGTTTTTATTATGTATGTAAGCCACCCCGAGTAGACTTTATTTAGTGGGGCAGGGTAAAAGTCTAATAAAAGTAAAGTAAAGTTGTAAAGTTGTAAAGTTGTAGTAATATACACTGCTCCCAGTAACATAAAAATTAACAAAGATTTTATTTTGTTCATCAAAGAATTGTTAAATGAGATACTACTGAATTAAGTTCTAGTGGTGATTCCAATGACTGATGCAGAAGAATGGGATGCTACAATTACTACTGTAATTAAATAAATAAGAAAATTGGATGGGAGACCACACAGAGCCCTATGCAGAAGGGGAGGTGGAGGAGAATAAAATACTTCCAAAGAGTACATTAAATATATTTTAACAAAGAATCAAACAATACTAGAATCACAGATCAGTTGCCAAAATTCAGTCAATGAATCTGTGCCAAATACTTGAACACCACACTGGATACAAAATTAGAAAAGTAGCAAATCCACAATAGGGTTTGAGGGACCATGTTTCACTCTTCCTGGTCATTGACTGTAATAAATAAATATACAGACAGATGTTTCACATGGTTTAAAAAAGTGAATCCGTCTGCAGCTGAATACAGTGGTGCCTCGCTTAACGAGCGCACCGTATAACAATGAAATTGCATAGCGATCCGTTTTTTCGGATCGCTAATGCGATCGCTCAACGTTTTTTTAATGGGGAAAAATTCGCTTTGCGAAGACCGGTAAGCGTTTCGCTTACCGATCTTCGCAAAACGAACCCCGCCGATCAGCTGTTTGGCGGCCAAAATGGCCGCCGGAAGCCAATAAAATACTTCCAAAGAGTACATTAAATATATTTTAACAAAGAATCAAACAATACTAGAATCACAGATCAGTTGCCAAAATTCAGTCAATGAATCTGTGCCAAATACTTGAACACCACACTGGATACAAAATTAGAAAAGTAGCAAATCCACAATAGGGTTTGAGGGACCATGTTTCACTCTTCCTGGTCATTGACTGTAATAAATAAATATACAGATAGATATGTTTCACATGGTTTAAAAAAGTGAATCCATCTGCAGCTGAATAGAAGTACAACTGAGGGCACCTGGAACCATGCCAACTTTCAACATTGATTGTGTCAATGTTACACAGAAACAAGCGGCCGCGCGCAGCGTTTTTGCGCCCTCGTTAAGTGAGGCGAGGGCGCGAAAATGGCTGCCTGCCATCCTGAAGCATCACTGAACGGTGAGTATTTGGCCCATTTGGAACGCATTAAACAATGTTTAATGCGTTCCAATGGAAATCGCTGCCCCGTTCAGCGATGCTTCAGCATAGTAAAGGTTAATCTGGAACGGATTAACCTCGCTATGCGTGGCACCACTGTAGAAGTACAATTGAGGGCACCTGGAACCATGCCGACTTTCAACACTGATTGTGTCAATGTTACACAGAAACAAGCAAACAAGGAGTAATAATCTTGAGTTTTAAAGGAATACTGTATACTAAATTCCAAAAATAGTGCATACCTTTTGTAACCATAGTGTTATACAAGGTTTATGAAAATAATGGTGACATGGAAGCTCTGTTACAATTTCTTCCTTGATGTACTCACTGCAACAGATAGCACAGCACTGTTCCTGACCTACAGCTTAGGGGGAAAAAAAAGAGAAATAACAGTATGTAATTCTAAAAGGAAGAAAATCCTAAGATACTGAGATGTAATTAGTACTACTAACCTTTCAAAAATAACACTTTTGGAATGGACACTAAATGTTAACTGCAGATCTATCTTCATAGTATTTTAATGTTAAATTTGAACAGAATGCATTATTTACCCTTATCATTGTGATCTTCTGTTATAATTATCTGTGGCAGACAGTCTATGCTTTCTTTACTAGCTGGTGGATGAGCCTGCTCAACATCAATTGCAAGAGATTCCAGATGTGCCAGAGCAGTCTAAAAGATGCAAAATAGAGAGCTTCTATTACTTACAAGACAGTTATTGTTTATTTAGATTTCATTCAAAACAGTTGTCTGAAGTTCAGTCACTGCAGAAAAATATGGATACACAGATTGATTGTTTCTATCTTTTTGCTGAAATAAACAAAGGCTAGATTAATATGAATAATATTTATGGAGAACTGGCTGTAAATATTAATTCAAATCTGAAGTTTAATTACTGTATACATATGACCATCACAGACCCATGTTAATTAAGGAATAAAGTGTCTAGAATGCCTGCAATTATTTTTTGTAACAGGGAAGACAGCAGCCCACTTTTGAATATGAAGCACTGACATGGATTAACACCTTCTTTGAATAACTCACTGCCGTTAACTGAAGCTGAACAGCAGAACAATGCTCTGAACAAGCTAGCACAGCCAAAGTACTGTCCATAAGCAATGGAACACTTCTAAAAGCTTTTTGCACCAACACATATACCCCTTCATGTTTCCCCCCGTTTTAAGAATCAACCAAAGCTTCCTTTGTCACAACTTTATCTTCTTACTCTTCGAATGCATGATCTTCCTGCTCAGGAGATAAGCAGATCAGAGTTCACGATAACCTCAAAGATAAGGGTAAACTGGATGTGATAGTTCATTAGGCTTTACTACTGAGCAGGAGTGGGCAAAGTGTGGCCTATGGGCTACTTGGGGTCCAACCACCATTTTTGAGGTCTCCAAGTCCCAATCTGTTGCTCCTATTAGGAAAAATTAATCTTCTACTCCTGGAAGCCTCCAGAAACAACATTAGTGTGGTAAAAGAAGTCATAGCCCCCATCTCTGATCCCCAAACAAAATCAGAAATCAATCTCCATCTGCTTCTGTTTTGCCATTTTAGCACGTTTTGGGCTGGGTGTTGCAGCCTATGTGCATAATGGCTGCTTGTAAAAGTCCTACGGATGCTTCAAGATTATTACACCTGATATGGAACCTACACCTGGTGCCAAATTTCCCATTACACATTGTATGAACACTTCCATGTCTATTATTGGCATGACTGCAAGGACAAATAGTTGAGACTAAAAGATAATTTAGAATTTATTATGCAAGTCTTTTGACCAAACTGGACATTGTGTAGGAACCATTTCCATTCAGCTAGTGAAAAAGAAAACCCTTCTTCCTTTGTAGCAATAAGGTCCATTCATTCCTAAAGCATTCAAGAGACAGAATAGCTGAATAGCAGTTTCTAAAAATGCAAAAAGAGCAAGCAAATTCTTTGTCCTTCCTCAGAAATAAAACTAAAGCATAGGGCTGATCAGGTGACTGATCTGTGTGGCCCACTCAAAAGCTTGCCACTGGCCCTGCTTGCTCCAAAGGTATGGGAAGCTGTCCTTTGCTATCAGACTACAATGCGCCACCAAAGACTTCACTTGCAGATCCTACTGAATTTGGTGTAAAGATAACTTTCCATAAAGCATAAAGACATAGGACAAATTTGCCCTGTTTCAACTGCTCAGGTTATTACATGTGCTCAGACTAGATACATATTTTCCATTAAGTTTTGATTAGAGATGGGGACGACTCACCATTTTGGCGAGTCATCCTGCTTTGTGAGTCGTCAGAAGTTGACAACTCACAAAGCACAAAGTTGCCACCATGAACTGACGAATAACGAATTTACTGTTGATTTGTGGGGGGTTACTTAAAAAAACCCTACACACCTGCCCCCGAGGCCACCATCACCCTCCATTGCCTTAAGGGAATCCAGGCTCCCCTTTGCAAAGATGGCAGCTGCAGCTTCCCTACCCCTAAATGAAGCCGCAGCCGCAATCTTTGCAAAGGGCAGCCAGTCTCCCTTTCTACAGGCCGTGGCTGGGAAAGCATGATGGAGACCTCAGCAGCAGCAGCAGCAACGATTATGGTAAGGGGGTGTCGGTAGGGGTGGGGGTGCTAAGGTAGGGAGATGAAGAGGGTGGGGGGCAGACTGTGGGGGTGGCTGGCTGTCTCCGGTGGGGTTGGCGGCCTGCCTATCAGCCCACTGATCAGCTGATTGGTGGGCTGGTGGTCAGAATGGAAAAGTCATAGGATGGCTTTTTTTTCTTCGTATGGGGGACGAATAAAAATGGGGAAATATTCATCCCTTCGTATCTGTGGGGGTCTCTGGGACCCACGAATATGAAGGGACAAACATTTTAACGAATCAGCGATTTTAGACGAATATTAACGAATCAGCGATTTTTGACGAATATTGTGATTCGATTTTTTATTTGTCCCCATGTCTAAGTTTTGATTTATCAGATGTAATCTTATTCAGTGGGAACAGATTGCCAAGATAGTTAAGCAGATGTCAGATTTCACCTTCAGAGATGATTAGAATATGATGTGAAAGGGTTCATAGATTTGTTTCACTTTCCTGGGAAGATTCTGAGATGACATACCATACATCATTTGCAAAGTGTTATCATTAAAACACACACAGCTCACAATGGGATTATTTATGTATTATGTTAATGAAGCGAAAATTTAGTTTATTAAACTTGTTTCTTCTGTTGCATATCTTTGTAAAAGTGAAGCTTCAGAAATAATCTGGAAGGAAGTATATATATTCATTTAGCAAATAATATCAAGCCACACACTATATTATACAGCAGCTCCACGGGCTGCTGATCCATTTCTGAGTTGTTGTTGGTTCTAACCTATAAAGCCCTAAATTGGCTTCAGCCAAGCTGTCTCAAGGACTGCATCTTCCTTTATGATCCTGCTTGAGTACTGAGATCATCAGGAGAGGCCTTTCAGTCCTACCACCTTCACAAGTGCATTTTATGGAGACACAGGAGACAGCCTTCTCTGTCACTGCTCCCCAGACTTTGGAACCTCCTCCCACAGCAGGCTAGGCTGGCCCCATCTGAAAACAGGCAAAGACTTTTCTCTTTAGGCAGGCTTTTCCTGAGTGCTGCCTGAGTGGGGTTTCCAAATGGATTGTTGTACCTTACACATTTAAAGGTACAACAAAGCTTTGAATGTGTTTCAGTGTTGCTTTTGTTTTTAGTGTGGTATTTGTTTAGTCCTTCTTAGCATTTGTATACTCACTGTTGTTTAATTGGATATTGTCTTTTAATGATGTAAGCCGCCTTGGGCCCTTTAAGGCGGGGTAAAAATATATATTTGAGAGAGAGGGAAAGAAAGAGAGAGAGAGAGAGAGAGAGAGGATTTCAAATGCTCAAAATGCACATTAATCCTCACAACAACTGGGCAAGGCAGGCCAGTATCTTCTAAATATAGACAAAGTACTGAGGCTGACAGAATACTGAGTTGCTAAATCTATAAGCTGAGCTGGGATTTTAAGAAGGAACGTCCCAGCTCCAGCTTATTGCTTATACCCTTAGCTACTAAACTACAGCAGCAGCCTGCAGCATAAAAGTCTCAGATATAAACCTCCAATATTTAATCTGTGCCACACAGGAATTCTGATGATCTGTTCCTGGGAGGGCTGAAAACAACTGTGGCAACAGAATTTTCTTTCTGCTTCGACAAACAGCTCCATTTGCTTAAGTGAGGTGTAGCAGAAATCTTATCCTAAGAAGCTTCTTTTATGAAGCACTAAACACTCTTCTTGACAAAAGTGTTTCCCTTTAATATATTGGGAATCACACAGATTTCTGAAGCTGCCGTGTTCCCCCCCCCCCCATTTTCTCTGCTCTTACTTCACCTTCTCTAATCATGTTAGTGAAAGAGAAGTATCACCATGCTTGGCACAGCAGTATGTAGAATGATGACTGTGTGCGTGCTGCTCAAGTGTAGAGCAAATGCAAAATCCAATGATGAGACACTTGTGTTCTAGAGTGTGCAAAAAAACAACACAACAACAAGCAATAATAATCCTTCTGTAACCAAACTCACTGGACAATATGAATGCTGCATAGAGGGATTTATTCTCAACAGCAAACCCATATTCTGCTTGAAAGTGCAAACCTGTGAAAAAATTCACTTAACGCACTGCAAATAATCAAAGTCATTCCCCAGATAAGGCAAAGCCTTTTAAGGAGAAAGGCGAGGTAAAAATATTTTAAATAATTACATAAAATAGTTTGCGGACTAGGATGAGGAACACTTCATTCTGCATGTTTTGGATTGAGGAGGCATCCCCTCACAACCCCACTACCCCATTAGAAGCTGCCTCAACCTAAAAAAAAATCTCTTTATATTCACACCATCTATGCAATAACATTTTAGCTAGAAGAACCAGGCTCAAACATTGTTTTACTTGATTCCATTATTTAGTGGCTTCATTGCACAAAATCCCTAGCCAATAGCTTCCATTTATTTCAAAGAAGGTACATACATCTAGTGAGATACTAAGACCTACAGTCTCTAATCCTCCCCACCCCCCGGACTTGCAAGAGAAATTCCCCTTCCTTTTCACTAGTGAACTGAGAAAAAGACTACAAGAATTTGGATGTTTGCAATGTCAACATTACAGCAAACAGTAAGAACTACACAGCCAGCTGTTTGAGATGTCACATTTGTTAACAAACCTGGGATGCTGGGAAAACACAGACAAATAAATCTAACAGAGTTAAGCCTGACAACTTGACCAAGATTAATTTTCTAAACATATTTGGAATAAAGTTATACCATCCTGAACTAACAGAAGAAATGAAACCAGCATGCTAAGAATTCAACTGACTTGTACTACAAATTGCCTCCTGTCTGTTTTGCAGTTGCAAAGTGAGATAATTCCATTATTTAAAGCATGCCACAGGAACACTTAGCACAGACATGTATATACTTTCTCTCAAATCTGAAATTTCAGCACTGCGATTCAACAGTATAAAAATATCACTGCTCTTAAAATTACAAGAGAAGCAAACTTTCAACAGTGTCATTCTCAATCAAAATGGAGTCACGTTTATTTTGTTTCTTCAAAATGTTTATTTCATATTAATAAACAATGAAATATATTTCCCCTCGAGATGAGGGTATTCGTATACGAATACGAATATCCCCGCACAGCTGGACTTAATGAGGGTCTGGCCCCTGGGGCGGGACGATCCACTCATGTGTCCGGTGGGGGCCTCGCTCATTCTTCCAATCACTCCCAGAGCACTATTCTCTTCCCGCTCATCTAACCAGTCCTGGCAAGGGAAGGGAGGATGAGTCTCCCTGCACAGCTGCCCAGTGGCCAGCTGGATGGGAACAGAGCAGTGCTCTGGGAGTGATTGGGAGGATGACCGAGGCCACCATCAGCAGATGTGTGAGTGGACGGTCCGGCCCCCTCATTAAGTCCAGCTATGTGGGGATATTCATATACAAATACCCCCACCTCTAATTTCCCCACATGAACACTCCGCAATAAAAACAGACTTAAAATGGTGAGTCACAACTGAAGTTTCTACAAGTTGAAACTGAACACTGCAGATGAGCGGGATAGTCACTAAACCAAGCCTGATACAACCATTGTCTAACAAAGGGCTTAAAATACCATACTCAGAAATTACTATCAGGTTTCTGCTACGCTATTCAGCTGCAAATGTTATCAAAGCCAGTGCCATCCATTTCCCCATGTATTCTTTCAATTTATAAAATTCAAAAAACTCCTTAGCTAAGCTTCCATGTAACAACAGTGAACATACAAAGGAACTACACCCTCCCCTCATCCTGCAAGAAGACATGCCAAGAAGCAGTGGGGAAGATCCAGAAATGTTTAAGGGAAAACATCGTTTCAACATGACCTTAAAACATTATGTCTGATTAGATTAAGAAGATCATTTACAAAATAATTTTCTCTTTCAGAATGATGAGTGAAATATTTTTTAAAGCAATGTTTTTAAATTATGGCCTGAGTTGAGCATCATGTTTGATAACATGCAACCACTAGGCTTCCTCCCCACTGCAATGCTTCACAGTCCCTCAACTCGTGCTCTGGACAGTTTCCTAGCCTTCCAAGGCAGGTGCACGGAAGGCTGCAGTGGGGAGGGAAGATTATAGGTATGTCACTATATGTTGGAACTAGAGACAAAAATCTGTTATGCTGAAACAATGTTTACATAACATATCTTGTCTGCACTTAGAACACTTCACACTGCTGAAAAGTCTCATAAGATTATATGTCTGAGATACCCACATTTGTTTCCACTCCTAAATTATATAGGGTTGATTTTTTTTAAAAAAAAACACAACTTTGGTGTTTTCCTCAGCTAACAGGCCTCTTCTGCAACTATGCCTTAAAATATTTAATATTCTTACAACAGGAAACCAGAACAAGATTTGCCCACATATAGGTGTGATATAGTCTTCTCCATTTTTCCCAGGTCATTGAAAAATCCTTCCCTACTCCATGCTTTCAGATATTTTAGCTTTCTAACTGAAATTTAAATTTAAAGCAATCATGTGAAATGGAATAGAAATAATGGTAAATTTTATTTATTTATCTGTCTGTCTGTCTGTCTGTCTGTCTGTCTGTCTGTCTGTCTGTCTATCTATCTATCTATCTATCTATCTATCTATCTATCTATCTATCTATCTATTATCTATCTATCTATCTATCTATCTTTCTATCTAACATGCCGCCCACACTACCCAAAGGTCTCTGGACAGCTTACAGCAATTTATAAACAGTAAAAAGATAAAATAATTAAAATATAATTAAAAATAAATTGCTCTAAAAATTGCCATCAGGACCCACAGTTGATATTATTTCAATTAAAAACCTTCTGGAACAGCAAGGTTTTGACCTGGCGCTGAAACGTCATCAACTTTGGCACCAGACGAATCTCTCTCAGGATGGCAATCCATAGTCTGGGTGCAGCTGCCGAAAAGACCCTTTGTCTACAAGCCATCTCTCTTACCTCCTTGTTGTAACTCTCCAGTTACAACAGCTTCACTGGCTACCAATTTCTGGGCCCAATTCAAAATGCTGGTATGACCTATGAAGCTTGCTTGGGTCCAGGCTATCTGAAGGGCCATATATCTCCATATGAGCCTTCTCTGTTTTAATGATCTTTACAGGCTACCCTTCTCTTAGTCCCAATAGCTTTTTCAGCATATTACACTTAACTGTTAGAGCAGTACGACAATGGAACCAATTACCTCGGGAGGTGGTGAGTGCTCCAAAGCTAAAGTCATTCAAGAGAAAATAGGACAACCATCTCTCAGATCTGCTTTGATTTGGATTCCTGCATTGAGAAGGGCCTGCCCCCGCCACCCCACCCCACCCCGCGGCAAAACACCACTTTCAGAAGATTCCCCGGGTGCTTTTACACTGCCTTTTTACCTGCTGAGCAAGCCCGGGGGAGTGTCTGAGACCCAGCGCCAATCAGCTGAGAGGCGGGGAGGGAGCAGAGAAGAGCATAAAATGGCTGCTACCAAGGCACTGTGAGGAGCCGGGGTCATTTATCAGTACCTGGTAAGTGACTTTGTTTGAATTTTTTCCCCATAGGAACTCATTAATTACATTTCAGTGCATTCCTATGGGAAATTTGGTTTCAACTTATGAACAGACTTCCAGAATGGATTAAGTTCATAAGTTGACTGTATATGCATTGCTGATAAGCACCAACTACATCAACACTTTAAACTGTGATATAGTCTGAAAATTTGAAAACTTAAATTTACATACAAAGCTCCCTTGTACTGTATTTTAATACTCCTGAAGATGTCACAACATTTACACAAAAACACTCATTTAATAATAATAATGATAATAAATTAAATTAAAATGCTGTCAACCTTCCATATTAACTATATTATCTACATAACTGGAATGTAGACAATCAGAAATTGCAGGTACCTGGAGACGCTGATAAGTCATTTCCATGAACATGCTTGTTACCTGAATTTGAAAAGATTCAGGTTAGTGAAAGGAGGAGTACAGTTTTTTAAAATATTTGTACCCCATTGTAAATTACCTTAATTCTCCTTTGTGAAATTTTAGAGCATTTTAAATATGACTAAAAACATCTGAGCCAATAACTCATCTCCCCTCCCCCCAAAAAAAAATTAAATAAAAACTTTCATTTAGATGAAGACAGGTTTTTTGTCTGTTTATAATTTATTAGAAAATAATTTTTTAAATGTGAAACATATTGAGGGCATACAATATCCACCAATAACATTATTATAACTGGGAGATTAATGTAACAGACTGAAAACATGGAGAAAGAGAATGGGAAATCTGTTTGGTTTGTAACCTGAAATACAATTTTTCAGACTTCACTTATTGTGGCTTAATAATATTCCTGAATATCATTTTCTAAAAGTGTTCTGTTTGCAAGTATATGGTTGTACTGAGGGCTATGTTTAGTTTTGGTCTGGTTTAGTTTAGAAAAACTAAAGATAACTAAGGTAAGTACTATACAGTGGGGTCTTGACTTAAGAACGGCTTGAGTTAAGAACATTTTGACTTAAGAACCGCTCTCATAGGAAAATATTGACTTGACTTAAGTACTTAGATTTGAGTTAAGAACTGAATAAAAACCACGTGCGAGGCAGGGAAAGTGCAAAATTTGAACTTTGAGTTAACTGTTGGCCAGTGAAAAGGATGCCTGTCTGCTTCCTCACTCCTCCCAGCATTTAGAGAGCGGATTGGGAGACTTCAGACTGCCTGGTACTGCCTGCACTGTATTTTCCCTGCCTTCCCTGAACCTTTCTTGACCTAAGAAAAAAAGAAACAAAATATCCCCCTCTAGTGGTCGAAGGCGGAATAGCAGCTTCCCATGAGTTTCTATGGGCGGAAAAGAGCAGATACGGATCAAATGGTTTTCAATGCATTCCTATGGGAAATGCAGATTTGACTTGAGAACATTTTGACTTGAGAACCGCCTTCCAATACGGATTAAGTTCTCAAGTCAAGACCCCACTGTATGTTGAATAACAGTCAGACATACTGTGTAGACTCAGAGGTTTTCTTTGCTGTTTTCCAATCTATAGATTGGAACCAATTACTGTTTGTTTTCTCCATGCACCAATGGCATTGAGCATACAGTCCTCATTTTCTTACAACTATGCAAGGAGGTATTCACTATTCCATTGTGTGTACATAACCCTTGTTTTCACCAGAGTGACCTCTGATTTGTGTACGAGTGAGTTGAAAATAGCTGAAACAGTTGCACATAGCTGTTGGACTCTGCAACTCCTAAAAGATTCTGCCCAGTAAAAACTAGAAAGACGCTTCAAAATCAGCTTTTCTCAATATCATTAAAGTGAGGCATGATGCCAAGCTGTTCCTTGGTAACCAATACCGAAAGGCAGCCACTTTTCTTCTGACGACTTGTGTATGTATTCATTCTTGCACTTCTCGAGTTTTGCTGATCAAATTTCAACACTAGGATGACGACACACTTCTAATTCCTGATTTATGACATAAAACACTTGTTTATATTTAACATGCTCTAAAGTTCACAGTTGTTTTTGCTGCAATAATAAACATGGTTATTCCTTTGGAGACTAGGTCATTTAATAATTTCATAGAGGCAATGAGCACTAATTCTAATTCATATTGACTGACGTATGATAATATATAAAAGTTACTTTGTTGATAAAGTATGTTGACGTAAAATATGTTTTAGCTATAATGTTGAACACTTTCATTAATCCTCTCATTTTGACACCGAATGACTAAGCATGTATGCATGTTATTTAAAATGTTTACCTTAAAAAAAATTTAGTTCATAGTGATTACAATAACTATGTTCACAAAGAAAAAAAACATTTAACTGAAGCAGTGTAACTACTGACTACTGCATTTTGCCCCTTGACAACAATCTCTTGTAACTACGGATTTCAAGAATACTCAGTATTTTCAAAGTCACAGTATGCTGACAGTGCTGAATCTCCTTCTCTCGTAGTAAAGAACTCAGGAAACACAACACTCTTCTAAGAAAAGAACTATCAGAATTATCTTGGCTCTCTTTAAATACAAGATTTGAAATATGGTGGAAAATGTAAGGCCACTTTAATCTGAGTAAATATTCAAGAGTCCTTGACAAAAGGACACAATAGCTTCTTTTAAATGTAACTCAGACAGAGATTTCATTTACTAACAAGCAACCAGCTGATGTAGTTTGGAAAACACTGAAATATTACACTAAGAGCAAACGAATTTTCCCTCTCCCCACCCAGCATTTCTAGAATATTAGCAAACAATTAAGCTTTTGTTTTACATCAGGCAATGAAATGTATTCAATATATTGTTGAAGACTGTATTATCTAAATTTTTGTTTTTGAGCAAAGACGTCTGGCATTGTTTGACAAATGACAAAATCTTTTTTTTAAATGAAGCCCAAAGAAGCAGACATTTGAACAAGCTGATAAAAATTGTTCAGTGGCCTCACACTTGTAGCCAAGTGTCAGGAGCTATCACCATAGCTGACTGGCTGCTACCACTCCTGCAGATAGCCTTATTGCCACAGTTGGTAGCAGAGCTGACCAGGGCACCAGACTCAAGTACCTGAAGCTGCAGTGCCACTTAACTATGCTGGCCTTGCACCGATGCATGTGGGGGGGGGGACATAAAGATGTGAGACATGAGGTAATTCCAGCCGTGTAGGGGACTTCACTCCAGCCTGTGTTATGTCTGCAGAGATACGGACCGTGGGGTTGCTTGTAACTGCTCCCTGCTTAAAAAATAAAAGGGGTGCTGATCCTGTGCAAAACCAGTATTCAATTGTAGCCAAGCATTAAAGTATTTCCCCCCCCAGATGCAATGCATCACCAATAAATATTTTGATTTGATGCAGGCCAAGTTAGCATTGAAGCATTTTTGTAATCCGTTGAAGTCAAGCTGTCCCCTTGAAGTATACTTCAAGAAGTATTTGCAGTTCTCTATTATTTTTTAAAGTTCTTTGTTACGCGTAGAACAATGTAGTTTCTCCTTATCTTGCACTATGTTTGAACAAAGACAGCTCACACAACTTTATAAACAACATGGACTTATTTTCTAGCCATCATAAGACATCCTAGGAAAAATTCCAGTTTTTTGTTGAGAGTTCAAAGTCCTTTTCTCTCTCTGACTTTAGCCACACCAAAGTTCACTGTATCTGTGGTCTTTCAGTGCGAGCACAGAAATCTAACTCTTTACCTGAATATTCACCACTGCTCACTCCAAAAGCCCAGGATAGGTTGAAAAACAAATTATTAGAATCCCCTAAAATTCAATAAAATTGAATGAAATCATTTTTTTAAAGTCTAGAAATCTGAATCTCTGTTAGCTAAACCACAGCTCACAAAACCAACCCAAATACAAAGTGCTCATTCTTCCAAATAATGTTCACACAATGGCCAGTTTCAGTGGCCTAAAATGTTCTTTGGCCCTCCATAATATCATCCTACATACAATCTTATGGTCCTTGTTTTTACTCCTGTAGCTGGCAAAATTATCCAAATTTAAAAAACAAAATTTTTCAGACACAAAAATTAGAACCTAGTATGAACTGAAACCTAACATGCAGCATGTGTTTAGACCACAAAATGTTGACTTTGTCATACAGTTCGTAAAGCTCATGCAGCTTTGCTAATGATTGTCTCAAGTTATGAAAACAGAGTGCAAAAGCAACTATGACTGGTGTTAAGTATCACATATAATCCCGGAGCACGTAGGCCAGGAAACAGAAAAAATATATATAAAAGTTAGTGTTATATAAATTATTGCTTGCTTCCCATACCACTCAAGGGGTTCTGGCTTGCATATATCTGAGATATTTCCCTACTGATAATGGAAGGAATCTACGAAACTATAATGTTCACAAGTGTTACATTTTACAGGTGTCTATAAAATTTTTTTTTTTTACTTAAATAGAACTGAGCTGGTTTTAAATATAATAGAAAATTTAGGTGTTCTTGTTCATCAAAATAGTGGGATTAATTTATAGCACTATGTACAATGACTATTTTATGTACACCACACCTCGATAAACTACTGATGATCAAATGCTCTGTTCATTTTTACACTTTCAAAATGAATCTTTAATAAACCACATCACACCTCAAAAAATAGCCACTGAGCTAAACGTATCCATATTCAGAAAATTAGACTCTCTTAAAAATAGTGAAATACAACATTAAATTAAGAAGAGGAAGAACTGTTATATTCATATAGGAACAGTAAATTTCAGATTTTGATGCCAAGCACTGTGTCTACATGTGCATAGGCATCCTTCAGTCTCGAGAGACTATGGTAACATGCTCTGAATTGAGGAGTGTCCTCTCCAGAGCCATAGGAACAGTAAATTTCAAATGTTGATGCCAAGCACTGTGTCTATATGCTTTGATGTCAAATGCATGGAAGGATGAGCCACATTGCCAATACCCGTCTCAAAGTCTATAAACCCTGTCCCTCCCCCTTAAAGTAGGGAAGATGGGGATTTATGTATGACATGATACTAAAATCCAAAGGTTCTCTGAATGAATTAAAAGTATGGTGAAACTGAGAGAGAAATCTCTCTGGTTACCACGCTGCAATGTTCAGCATAAGATGACAGAAAACCTTTGTCATTCTACATGTTCCAAAGAAGGGTTGTAACATTATTTTCCACATATATATTGTTGCAGTAATATATCCACAGCTACCTGCAGTCATACTAAACCAAACAAACAATCCAAGAAAACAACAAAAATTATTCACAACCAGTACTATCTCTAGACTCTTCTCTGCAAAAATTAACAGAAATACAGTGGTGC